CTTCCTCCAGGCACAAAGATTGTGAAAGCAAACCCTGGGCACGCTTTCACACGGGGTGAAGAGAGGCAGAATTTGTGGTCGCCACCACCACCCGCCCCCCTCCCGTGTCTGCAGCAGGAGTCAAGTCACTGACTGCCCTTCCAGGTATTTACTGAGAGCAAAAGCTCTCTGTTAGAGGGAGGATTTGTGGTTGTTGGATGTGCACAGTGAGAGCCAGCCCTCCACCCCACCCTTTTCCTTTCATAACAGGTCTGCAGAGTTGGTGGACCTTGAAGGTAGATGCTGGGAGCAGCTGCAGAATGGTTGCTTTTCTCTAGCTGCTCTGCAGTGCAGATGCCTTGCATGGGCACGTTTTTTAACTGGTTTGCTCCTTTCGTCCAGGGTAAATAATCTGTATGAGGCGTTACTGTCAGAATACACGTTAAGTACCTCTAAGCTTTCATTTAGTCCTAATTATGTCTCTGAAATAGTAAACCATACCTGTCAGGAGGTTAGTACCGAGAACTCTTCAATCTTGACAAGGTGATGAGCTCCACTGATGGTGAACTTCCCTTCTGGAAGGGATACTTGGCTGCACGTTCGATTATAAGGGCAGAGTTTTGTGTTGGTTTTGTGTTTGTTTTTTTTTCCCTGGCTTGCTGTCCTCACTGGACTTCAGATAGGAAAATAGCGAGGGACTTTGCCTGGACTTTACCTTGCACCTGTCCTTATTTGCATACAAAAACCCAATTGCTTCATTTGTCTTTCTGAAGAACAGGGTGTGAGCAAAATCTTATCAAGAGCCATGTCCTGTTTGGACAAGTTGGACTGACTTGGCAGAGATCCACAGGGTGGAGTGAATGGGAGGAGGCAAGAAAGTAAAACTGGGTGGCTTGTTAGCAGAAAAAGAGACAGAGAGGGGGAAAAAAAAACAAAGAGAGAGGGTGGAATGTTTGCCTACCGGATTGGAGTTAATTATTTAGTTTCAGATTACGTGCATTTTAAATTCTTTTAACCCACATGAAAAAAAAACCCCTTTAATGCAAAATAGTTTATCTAATAACGTGAAAGACAAAGGCCCTTATTTTTTAATATGCTTGATACGAATATATTGTTGTCTCCTCACTGTTTTTTCCAGGGTACCTCAGGAGTGAAAGGTGGTATTTTGATTTTCCAGAAATTAGTTGTGTTTACTAAACAATTTGTGGGCTTTCAAACAAGTACATTATGAAATCAGTGTGTAAAGTAGAACCCTACTGTTTTTTCATTCCTCTGTAATAGAAACAGATAAGACTGTTTACCTTCCCTATTGCCCCCTTCTCAGATGTTTAGGAGACAGAGTTTGGGAGTTTTTCAGTTAGTAGCCACTGTTTTACAAACAGACTAGGGAAAACTACAGACTTCTTAGTAGAAGTAGCATACTTTCTTTGTGTGTGAGCGTGCATGAGCATTATTTTTACATACAAAGAGAACTGTTCTGTGAGTTTATTTGCAGCCTTAGGAGAGTGCCCTTCTGAGCTTAAATTTTAAATGTCACACCCAAAGCAGGTTTATAGTGACTCTTCAGCAGCTCTATCAGTTTCCACCAGATAAAAATTTGACCCTTTGGTCTGGACCAGCAGGACCAAGCGTTACATATTAATTAATCCTCCTTTCTTGAGTGTTGGTTTGCAGCCATTATCTAACGGGGAAGAGAAACCTACCGCTTAAGAGTGACATGTGATAAAGAAGTGCTCAACTTCTGTACTATGAGGCAGCAATAAAAGTAACGTTTTCCTCTGCTGTTCTTAGATTACTGTACCTGAGAAAGATGGAGAATTACTCTTCACTTTTATCAGTGCAGTACGCTTTCTGTTTTCTATGTCAGTCTAATCCCTACACAGTAACTTAGAGCCCTCTCAGGAAATGCTCAAATGTGTAGCATGACAGTGTGAAACGTCTATCAAGTGTCTTTCATGCACTTTCTTGGAGTAGAAGGTGAAAAGGAGTAACTCTTAAACTGAAGGAAATCCAATTTTTAAATAACAGAAATGATAAAAAGAATAGCTTGGGAGTGTGCCTGCTCACTTAGAACAAACTCTTTCCTTCTCTCTCTTTCTTTTCTTGCTTGCTTTTGCTTTTTCCTCCCTCCCTCCCTCCATCATTCAAAGAAAATCACTATATTTAATAACCTTATCAAAAATATACTCAAAGTATTTACAAAATTGTAACAACTTTTAGCAAATAGTGAGATCTTACCTAACTGCATCTAAAGTAAAACTATGTATGTTGTTTAAGCTGGAAATTGCATTGAGCTGCTCTATTTTTTTATTATTTTATTTGTTTTTTGTCAGACCTTTGACTTTTGTAAGAAGACTTATGAAGATAATTTACTTTTCATACTTGTTTGTTTACATTATTCAAAACGCACGCTGTTGAGATATATTACCATAAGTCTTTAAACTTTATTCATATACCTGAATAATTAATTATAGACTTGTAACAATTCATGCTGTCTTTCTCTGCAAGCTCTTAAATTTTTATCTATAAACACACATGATAGTTAATTGCAAGACTGTTCATTAGTGTAAGCTTATTAGAACTGTTTTAATTCGAGCAGGTACATCTTAAAATTGTCATTTAAATTTCTGGGAGAAGTTTCCAGCCACGAACTACAAATCTGTTGTTGAGCCTTTAGCCTCCTTCTGCAGGGTGAAATTGTCTGGGTGATGTAGTCTGGCTGTATTCGTTTCTTTTCAGTGCCATCTACTGGTCAAAATTGAATTTGTGAAATTTTTTTTGTCCACAGTAGAAGTCACGCCCCTTCCAGGCAGGGCTGTGACCTGTGCAGTGTTCGGTCAGAACTTGCTCCCTCAATATAAGTTGTATAATATATAAACTCAAGTGATTTATAAAAAGCTTGTCGGCATCTAAATGTTATTGAGAAAAGCTTTCCTTTGCTTCTCTTGATTTTCCCTCTGTACCCTTATGGCTTTGCCCAGAAGAGGTGGCTCCTCTCTTCATTCACAGCGTTTTTCCAAGCTGACCATGGCCAATGTGTAGTACGATACTTATGACTTGCTTTATGCTAAATATTTTTACTTCAGGCCGTTTGAAGTAAGATAGAATCGAACAAACGAGGTTGAACACTGTGGAAAAACCAACCAAAGCTGCCTGCAATACAACCAGATTTTTTGAAGTGCTTCTCTTTAGCACAGTTAGCATAAACTGTTGTTGAATTGTCAGTAAATCTATTATCTCAAGGAAATAATTGATATAATTTTTATGTTTTAAGCAATTGCAGCATGTTGAATGTACCTTTCCAGATTAGTCCTGGATTTTTATTTTTTGCTTGTGTTGATACCAGCGTCACTGTAAAGTGACTGAAAGTTTCAGCTTTTCTATCAGGTCTCTAAGAAAAGAGATACCCTCTCCAGAATCAGTTCAGTTGTATAAACAAGATTATTCTGAAGTTGTAATGCTGGTGTACACTGTGATGTGTTTACACACTTACAGCTAATGAATGACAGTTCTGTGATCTTGGTATGCTGACATACACAATAGAAATACAAGTTAACTTTTATTAAAGTGAGGAAATGTCCCTTTGTTTCAATAGCAATTAGGAAAGAATAAACATAGAATAACTGAAATATTTAGATTAAGTACAGTCAAATATTTAAGAAACTATGTTAGAGATGCGTATATATTCACATTACATGAAGTAATGTAATGTAAGTAATGTAAGTTCTTTACAATTCGGAAAGTTGATTGGGGGATTTCCTGTGCCTTTCTAACACTTTGTCATTCCCCTGCAGGCCAGGACATCAGAGGCATCACAACAGGTGAATAAAAAAAGATGCTAATGTTTGACCCAGTCCCTATCAAGCAGGAAGCCATGGAGCCTGTTTCAGTGGTAAGACTTCTAAATTACATTAGCCTTTGTGAGGACTCTATAATTTTTCCACATGTAAATTCATACCAAAGTTTCTCTTAGGAAAGCCTGTGAAGCTGTATTTACTCTTAAGACAATCAAATTCACATTCTAGGAAAACGTTTTCTGTAGTTTATGAATTTATTGCCCCTGAGTGACCTGCTCCGTTACCTCTGCTGGGGCTTCATTGCCTGGAGCAGAGAATATCTGAGCAAATATGATCTCTGTAGCTCCAGCTGCTAGTGGAGGTGGGTTGAAGTTAAGAAGCCAGGCTTCACAGGGAAGTTGTGAGAGCCTGTGGGTTCAGTGTCACACCTTTGAACTAAATGAGCAGTTTAGCACTGTCCCCACTTTTTTTTTCCTCTTAATCTTGACATGTGCGTGGACTAACTCTGTGCTCTGAACAGCAGAAGATTAATCCTGACAAAAAAAGCAATGGCTTTTTGCTGCGTAAGCCAGGTGCATTGCCTTACCGTGTGAACAGATGAACAGGGCAGTGGAGGAGAAATGGAAGAAAAAGGGAAAGGGAACACTTTTCGATTGGGTTAATTTTACATCAAGTTGTTGTATAGGGTCATCTCAGAGAAGAAAAGGGGTTGTCTAAGAGAAGAAACAGCAGCAGAATCATGTGGCTGGGAGGGTCACAATGGGGACTGTGGTGGTTTAGGCTGCAATGGAAATACAGCCTTAGGAAGCAGTTTCATGTGTACTCCCCTGGTAAAACTGCAGGCTGCTGCTGAAAGGTAACATTCAAGCTTTTCTTCTTCCTTTCCTGCTTTGTGTCTCTTTTGTATGACATGAAGAAATTGTGTGGTCACAGAATGATTTGGATCCTTGGGATCAGCTCATTGAATGGTCAGAACTGCTAACCCATCAAAAATACCCATATTTTTTTGGTCAGATCAGGAAGCTGATCTGACTGGTTCTGTGCAGCTGCTCAGTGCTAGAGCAAGGGAAGGGAGGAGGAAGAGGGAACTCCCTTTTCAGCAGTAGCCTGCAATAAAATCAGATAAAGTGTAACATGAAACAACGCCTCTGGAAAGGCTGATCAATTAAAAGGGTGGAGTTAGTGTGTATAAATTAGAGTGCATTAAACTCGTGCTCTGAGTGGCATCTTTCGGTGAAAAGTTTCTTTCCTGTTTTAGTTAAAATGTGGAATAATTGTAATCAATTTAAATGCATCTGTAAGCAGTCTTAATTTCTTCAGTGCTGTTAACACTTTTTGAGAGTTATGCTTCTATAGATTTTAAAAATACAGTTGGACTTCATGGGGTTTATTTACTTGAGCATAATGATATAAAAAGAACTGATCTGTCACTGAGAGTGTAAGTATGACAGATTCCAATATTTAGTTCAAGAAAGAGCCTTAGTATTTGTCCAGTCTCCCGATTCAATTACAGTTACAGCATAACCTTACTAAAATTATGTGTAATTATCCAAAGATCTCTAATGGTGTCCATCAAAGGCAGAAAATGGGCCACTTTTACAATGAAAGTGTCGTTACACAAATAACAGAAAATGGCTCTAGAGGCACTGTGGGCAGTCTTTTGTACACATCTGCCTTCATCTCCCAAAGAAGGTTCTGCAGTCGCTTGGGATGATGCACACGAGAGACACAAAATCCTGCCCCAGGCCAGTGTGTGCTTCTGCAAGATGGGCAGAGCCAGTCCCTCAACAGGCTCTCCAGGGGAGGAGTGAACAGTCTTCCTCAGGCTGGCAGATGCAGGAAGAACCGCAATGGAAGAGCAAGGGAGCGTTTCTGAGCCAAATGCATTTCAAGACTGTAGTTCCAAACATTGCTTATTCTATACCATGTGCTCCTTGTGGAGGTGTGGTACCTTCCACGCCTTGGACCTCTGGAATCGTCTTGGATGGCCTTAAAACTCAGTGTTGTCACTGTTACAGACTACTCAGAGCATTTTACCACATCTGTGTGCTTTCCTTTTTGTCATTGCGTAATCAATAAATAAAAAAAAATTAGTAGGAGAAGAAAAGCAGAAAATGTGGAGGAAAAGACTTTGTTGAGGCAGTTTCTCCTCATGGATATTACTCCGCTTTCCTCATGCTGAGGAGTGTGTCCTTCAGCTTCTAGACACACACAGGCTCTTTAACTCCAAACCCTTGAGGTCCTGGCTTCCCCCCCACCTCTTAATCTTGTGGCATCCTTGGAGCCCTGCTGCCACAGCTCCCCAGCAGAAGCTGTTCTGGAGATACCTCTGAAGAGAGGTCTAGTGGTGTGGTGAGAACGTAGGAAAGGATAGCAGCCACAGAGTGTGTCAGTTTTCTTGACCACCTTTTGGGCCGATGGAGGGGAAGCGGAGCTATTAGTGTGGTGTTTTGGAGCTGGTGAGCACAGCATTCAGTTCACTGTGGGCTGACAACTCAGACATCTAAAATCAAGATTTATTTGTGTTGTATCTTTTGTTCTAATGGCATCATTAAAGGCCAAACTAAATGAAGCCCCTTAGGAATTATTTGTTGTTGTACCTGAACATACGCTGTCCATAGCTGTAAAATCTGTCTTTAAAAAATCCCGTTAGCTTGGGTGGGAGAAGGAAGAATATTACCGTTTTGACACCACTATGTTTCAGGGTGTGTGGCTGAAAGGATTAGCTATACTTCTCAGATGACCGAAGCTTGCACCCACGGTATTTTATCACTCTACCAACAGCTCATGCTAGTTATCAAATTGAGCTATTGAACACATTTTAGGATACTTCTTAATGAAATAGTGACAAAGTCAGGAGAGTCCTATGTAAACATTTGCTGTGAGGATTTCCTAGACATTCGGACAAATACGCGTTACCATTTAATGAAAGAAATTCCTTTGTTATGTGCTAGTCTCTTTCACTGAATTGAATTGAATTAAATAATTTTTCTCTATCCTTCCAGCTGTCCCAAAATGTTTCACCCCAGGATAGCTATGCGCTACGTGAGGGGTTGAGGTCTTAGGTAGCGTGCCAGAATGCGAATTTCACAAGATTAGAATACATTTTCATGTATGAGCTACTATTTGGATTAAATCCCTTTCATCCTCTTAACATGACACTGATTTGACAAATAGCATAAGTAGGTGTGCAGGTTCTTCGGCTCTTTGTGGTTTTACAAGAGGCTGGCAAAATTTTAAAGTTAAATTCATAGGGTTATGTAGTTTATAAAAGACCTGGTGAATTGCTTCGGAGTCTCTTCGCCTGTACAACAAAGATGTTTCACAGTGGCAGTATAACAGAATTTAGCAAATTTTATCAGATTAGTGCTTGATAACATCCCGTTGTGGAACCAGTCTTCTGAGTGGTGATAGGTGTGCTGGTGACGTATCTGATCGGTCTTTATCTTGATAGATTGCCAAGAGGAAAAGCACAGTGATTCTCCTTTTGGGTTTACCAGTTTAATTGTATGAGCCGCATGGATAGGACTCAAAAAATATTAGAAGTTTCTTTGATGTATTTTCCAGTTTCTTTGTGGCTTCTGGGCTTTTGGGTTTTATTATTGACAAACAGCAAGGAAAGGTAAATATAAGGCCCAGAGAGAGAAAGCAATGATATTAATCTTAAAAAAGGGCTAGATGGAGCCTGTGAAGGAACATATGTTGAAATACAATCCTGCATTTTTATAGTCATCTACTGCAGTGACATACCATTCTGCACAGGGGTGTTCAGGAAAGCGGTAATGTGTCTGGGTTTTTTTCAAAGTCAGAGCAAGCTCTTGCATATGCTGTTAATTGCCACAGTAAAATCCCAAGAAAAAAAGACCTTAAATACTTCAGGCAAACAGAATAATGATACCTTATTTTCGGTTGTTCCACCACAATATTTCGATTAAGCTCTAGGACAGATGAGAAAAGATTGTTCTTGCAGACTGTGAGGTACTCTCCTGCTTCCTGCAGTTGGTAGCATTTAAAAAAACAGAGGTATTTCAGAGGGTTTTTTTGTTCGCAAATTTTAATGCTCCCTGTTTACAGAGGAGACTGTGAAGTTTTCCTTGCTCTCCCATCCCGTATCACCAAAGGGATGCTGTCCTCTTTCCTGGCAAAGAAAGGGAGGGTAGCCTACCAGCTTTGAAAGCAATGGCTCCTATCAACCTAAAGGCAATTGCTGTGTCCCAGGGAGCTAGAAACTGAAACTTCGCTATGCTAAGAGAGGCAGGAAGCTTAACTGCAGAACCAGGAGGTAAATCTGAGTGTGACTTACTCCAAACAAACAGGGTTTCAACTACACCTCATTAATAGCAAGACTCTTTTCCACCAGAGTGTCTGAGAGCGAATACTCTTCTTTTCCTTGTTCTAGCATCCTTCTCAACTTTTTCACTTTTTCTTCCCAACACAGCTAATCTGTCATGCCACATCTTTCTATCATAACTTTATCTGCAGTTCAGATAGAGACGTAGCAATTAAAATCACAGAAGCAAGAAAAGATCAGAAGAGTTATTCACCTTCTCCAAACTCGCAGAAAAAATAGCTGATGTTAAATCTGCGCCAGATTAATTACAAGAATGAAAACCTTCTATGCAAAATAATGCAATGCACATGGAGTAAAATACCAAGTCCCTAAAATAATCACGTCATTATTTTCTTCTTAATTCTGGGAGGTATTTCTTCCTTGTCTAAATATATTTTACTTCTCTAGTTTATAGTTCTCTGCACAATGTTTTAATAGTTTCGTCTTTTTTCAACATACACACCTGGTGTTACTTGAAGCGTTGAAAGAGGCTGACTGTTTATATAGATTGCTTACAGAATGGACGATACTCTCTGAGATTTAAATTGCATAGTCTTTTTTCTTTGTAATTGAAAACTGTAATGGAAAAAAGGTTCCTGGGTCGTGATGTTGTGATCATCCCTGACAAACCTGCAGCACTGTAAATGCACTCACTGACGCTTAGTGGTGGGACATTTACAGTTTGTTCAAACTGAGTTGACTGTTACTGTACACCAGTAACAGTGATTTTAACAGGAGTACTTAATATCTCTTATGTGTTTAAATTTTGAATTTTTGCTTATGTCCATAATTTGGTTAGATTTAGTAGATATTAAGTACTGTTTAAATGTGGAGTTGGTTTTAGCCAGTGCTGCTTGCAGTAATGGCATTTTAATAGAATTCTGAGGAACCAATTGCTATCGAAGATGAACGCATTTATAGGTAGAATTTGTAAAAATAGTCATAAAGAGAAGAAATAAGGTTTCAGAGATTTTAATGTGGTATTCATTGTTTGAAGATTAATCACCATTGTGTAGGAGGCTTTGTTCGAGTATTTTATGAAACAGCTGACTCAGCTTTGTTGTTCTGTCACAGTGCTTTGAATGCAGCAGGAAAACTTAATGTTTTCTAAACAAGTGTTTCAAACAGTAACTGAAAAGAAGAAAAATACCTTTGTGCCGTTTTGAAAAAATACTTTTGGCTAATGTTGACATTTAAAATCAACTAACTGTCCCTCGTAGGGAAGACAGAGGTAAGAAACCAGGAAGATGTATTGCTAGAAGTATTCACCCCAGGGTAAAAAAATAATTGAAGTGTTATGGTAATGATTATATAAAAATACAATTTTTTATACTTCTGTTTCACTCTCTACCATTTCGAACATTTTTAAAATTCCACTCATTAAAGTCTTTTTGGCACCAAAAAAGTCAGCAGCTTTTTAATACTATTGTGAAGCTGCTTAGCTTTAATGTGAAGCTTTATTTAAACCTAGAATCCAAAGATAGCATTTCATTTCAAAAAATTTACAACATCTAAGGTCTAAAAAGCTAAGTGGATTGCATTTTCTATGCCTTATCTACTGAGTTAGAACATCACTTCGGTTTCTGTTCTCTGTTAGTAAACTACCTCCGTTTTCAATACTTTAAATACAAAATTGTTCTGGATAGTTATTTAATAATACTGTACTCTGTGATGAATGTTAATACTAGATCATCCTGTAGGTCAAGATTAGCTTAAGAGTTTATATGCTCTTGTAATGAGAACTGCTAGCTGCCACTAACAGGAATATTCTTTCAACACACCAAATGTTTACCCTTGCGCTAGTTTTCCAAAATCAGACTGGCTAGTTAGCTGCTTTATTTCTCAAAATAAGAAAAAAAATGTTTAGAGTTTGCCTTTTACACTCGTTTCTCACCCATTGCTTATATAGTTCAGATGTGTATTTTTTATTGCTTTTTAGGGTTCAGATATATAATTTCTTGCTTTAGTGTTGATTGTTTTCCAGTTACTTAAGCGGTTGATTACATGCAATTCCAAGTCTAGTTTAACTCCGCTTTTGCTTGACTTCATGATCCTCAGTATATAGTTACATGCTGGGCATAGCACCAGGTACCTTCCAGGTCAGTTAAGTAATGTGCAGCTTAGAATATGAAAAGCAGTTTTTAGTGGAGAAAAAAGAGTTGACTAAGCCTTGAGGTTTTGTTTTCATCATCTGTTTTACATTGCTTCTGAAACAACTAGTGAATCAGTACTTGAATAACTTCCTTTGTGTGAAATCTTAGGCTTTGTCTAAATCACTTTTATTTAGAAAGTACAATAAATTGCTTTCCTGAAACTTTTTCATTTTGTCTCAATTTCACTAGCCGCCTTTCTTTTTCAGCAGTAATTGTGTTTGTGTTGATTTATTATTTCATTTTACTTTTTTCCACTTCTTCTGACAGTCATACCCGTCCAATTACATGGACCAAATGAAGCCAAACAAATACAGCGTCATTTATTCTACGCCGAGCATGTTGCACAACAAATTCTACTCAAACCCTGAAGGACTATCAAATGGAATCCAGATGGAGCCAGTAGACCTTACAGTGAACAAGCGGGGCTCACCACCTTCCACTGGAAGTTCTCCTTCCCCCCTGAAGTTTCATAGGAGAACTTCACCTGGATTGACTCTGTCCTCACCCAGCTCACCTCTCAGTAAATTCACGCCGTCACCTCCAGGAGTACAACCTCTTTCCATGCCAATAACGATCCCACCTGTAATGGCCGCTGCTCTTTCGCGCCACGGACTAAGAAGCCCTGGAATCCTCCCAGTTATACAGCCGGTGGTGGTCCAGCCGGTTCCTTTTATGTATGCTCCCCATCTTCAGCAGCCCATCATGGTGTCCACAGTTCTCGCCGATGAGATGGAAGCTCCAAGCAGCATGCCAGGTTGGTGTTCACAGAACCACAGACGTTAGGAGTTGGAAGGGAGCTTTAAAGATCAAGTCCAACCCCCCTGTCAGAGCAGGATCACCTACAGTAGGTCACACAGGAACATGTCCAGGCAGGTTTTGAACTTCTCCATAGAAGGAGACTCCACGACTGCCCTGGGCAGCCTGTGCCAGGGCTCTGTCACCCTCACAGGGAAAAAGTTTTTCCCAGTATCTCTGTGGAACCTCCTGTGCTCCAGCTGCACCCATTTCCCCATGTCCTGTCACTGGACATCCCTGAGAAGAGCTTGGCTCTGTCCTCCTGACACTCCCCCTTGACATATTTATAAACATTTATGAGATCACCCCTCAGCCTCCTCTTCTCCAAGCTAAAGAGACCCAGCTCCTTCAGCCTTTCCTCATAAGGGAGATGTTCCACTCCCTTCATCATCTTTGTGGCTCTGTGCTGGACTCTCTCAAGCAGTTCCCTGTCTCTCTTGAGCTGAGAGGCTCAGCACTGGAGCCCCAGATGTGGCCTCACCAGGGCAGAGTTAGAGGGGCAGGAGGACCTCTCTCGACCTACTGGCTACTCCCCTTCTAATACACCCCAGGATGCCATTGGCCGTCTTGGCCAGCTCTTCTCAGAGTTTCTTTTTTTACGCCATCTCATCCTCGGAAAATACCAGTATAGCCGAGCACTCTTTGGTGCACTTTTTGCATTTTAGGAAATGGAACATAGTTCTTCTTCTGAAACATACAGGCATGACTGTGTAAATACTTCACCAAGCTTACCAAGGTCATATTCTCTTTTATACCTGCATAAAGCTGTTAATCTACTGAGATTTGAACTGATGAAAATACTGAGCTTAGGAAAATGAGTAGAATTATTTTGAATCATAGTTCATCAGGAGATAGACTAAAACTGAAAGATTTTGTGGTTTAGCATAAATTATTTTACTAAATATAGAGCTGTGGCATTTCTTTTAGCTATAGATTCTCACGTGTATTTCCTATCTCCATAACTCTCCATATTTTTGATGTGTTGCCTTCCCTTTGCTACCCTCCCCTATGCAGTGCCTGTCATTGAGTCTTATGAGAAGCCTACATTGAAGAAAACAATCAAAGTAGAGCCAGGAAGCGAACCATCGAAGACTGACTTGTATCCTGAGCAAATGTCACCTCCAATGATGACCTCCTTGTCTCCCCAGCAAGTAATGGTGCAAGAGTAAGTAGCTAACAGTAGTCCCAAGATCTGCAGAATAATGAAAAGGAGTTCATTATAGCAGTTGTCAGCATTGAGGAGCGAGAGACAGCATTGCTGTGCTTTAGAATATGTGATAAAATTCAGACAAACATCTTTCCCACCCCTTCCACATTGTGAAATCTGATTCCAGCTGTATTTTTTTCCTCTCTTCAGCAAAACAGGAGTTTACTCCCAGTAAGCCAGTGATACCTGTTTGTGTAAAACCAGAAGCAAACTAGAAAGATACTGTAAAGGCATTTCATGCTGATCTCTGTATTTACGTTACCTGTAATACCTTTCTTTAAAAATATTCGTATGACTATTTTCTTGGAGGACCTCTTTGTCTTTTAAAAAATTTTGACTACTTAGTGGAAAGAACCCCCCTCAGGCCTACAAATTCTGTCTATATCCAGTGAAATTCCATGTTTACCTGAGGCCATTGTTCTGTGGGTGGTTTTTTTGGCAGGTCAAGTAGTTCTCAACCCTCACTCTCCTCCCCGCCACTTGTTTCCACCCCAGTACCAACTCGTTGTGCTGGTACAACTACTGCTGGGGCCACTGCATGAACTGGATCACAGATGTAATTGGGTTTCACAGAATTGCCTAGACTGGAAAAGACCTTTAAGATCATCGAGTTCCGTAATTAATTAACTGGCAGGTCTTCAACTAAACCATATCCCTAAGCACTATGTCAGCCTGACTTTGGGAGGCAGACTCTACCAGTGCCCTGGGAAACCCGTTCCAATGCATGATAACTTTCAGTAAAGAAATTCTTCCTAATATCTAACCTAAACTTCCCTTGACACAACTTGAGGCCATCTCCTCTTGTCCTGTTGGGTATAAAACAGTTCTGTTTGCAGAAGGCAGAGCAGGGACTACAAAGAAGTGAGGTCTAGAGCAGAAAACTTTTAACTGGAACTACTAAAAAATGCTCAGGAAGTACTTGAGGAGCCATGGGCACCCTTCCATCTCCTATTTTTCTAGGGAAGATTCTGTCACTAGAATCATGGAATGGCCCGGAGCCTGGCTCATCCATGAGCAGGCAGTGCTCTGGGCAGGCTGCTGGCGTCGTGGTGGCAGGAACTGAAGTTGGGAGCTGAGCTGGGCTCACAGTACCTGACCTCAGAATCCATTTCTGACCTTTCTTCACGCTCACCGTCACCCTTGCAGTGGTCGTACAAGACCTCAGTTCCTTAAGTGATGCAGAAAGAGAGACAAAGCGTGAGATGGGTGGTTGTCTGCATTTCCTTCAGCTTCTTCTTCCTGCTCATGACTGTTCCCAGGCACACCGTGGCTCCAGGGCTGCCTACTTTCTGCGTAGCCTTCTTATGCACACCCCCCTTCTTTTTCAAGTCTCTAGATGGCTTAGACACATCTAGGCTACAGGTTCTTTGCAGTTAACTAGTAGCCAGCTAGCTCTTACAAACTATATGGTGTCTATTTAAAAGTAACCTTATATGTTTTATTATAATAAAATAGTGTTTAGTAGGTGGTTACTTCCATAATGGACTTGCCACACAAGGGAGTCAGACCTGTATGTCTTTGGAACTTCTGCTAGGTCAGGACTACCAGGTGGTTCAGTTTGCTTTGGTTCTTTGTTAGGCCTCTCCAAGGGAGAGCAAACCAGTAAGTGCTCTTCCTGGCTGATACCACACCCTTCCTCCAGGGCTGACACTTCTGCAGACTTGTCACCTGCATTAATGATTTGCATTAATTATTTCCTAATGAGTCCAGTTTCCACAGGAAACCCATCCGCTGAGCAAAGAAGATGAAATATGGTGTAACACATAGGTAGCGTGGTTGCAAAAAACATTTGGATTGTCTGTGTTTCCAAAGCATCTCCTGCTTGCCCATGCAGAGCTGTGGGTTACTGGAGACCCTGTCCTCCCATAGGAATGGCTTAAATTGCTTCCCAGCTGTCCTGTAGAGCTGCAGTTCTTGCTCGTTCCTAGAGCCAGTCCTTTTGAGTTCATGTTGTAGTGTATCCACAACAAGAAGTTTGTAAATGGTAGTTTTTTTCTTTTTATCATTCAAAAAAATACCTAGACAAGCTGTGCAAGTTACAAGATGAGAGACCTAGACCTTTATAAACTGTTGTCTCACAGCTTCATCACCTTCTCTGTTTGCATTGTAAGCTGTAGTTAAGCAATATTTTTTTATCATTTTTCATAGCTTCCAACTGCCCAAGTGCACTATTTAGACACATAATCTACATTACCTTCAGTTTTAAGTGACTGATTTTGCTTTAGTGTTAGTTTTTGGCATATACATTATATATAATGTTGGTGGCACTTCTGTAGGGATTGCTGGGCTTTCTAGTATGTCTGATAATTGGTGTAACTATGGAGTTGTTTCTAAAACCAAGCTTGAGGTAACGATCTCTCACCAAATATAAGAAGCCTCATTAACTGTATTTTCTTTTGAGTGTGAATGTCAGAGTCTTAAGTCGTGCTGTCACCGTAGCTTGTTCTGTTCATAAAGAAGGAGAAAAAGCTGTTGAAAGCGTAACTTGATTTTTGGAAGATGCTCTTACCTATTAAAGAGTGATGCTTAAATGGTTAGACTAGCGTGAATTTGTATCTGGTTGCGTAAGAGGGAATGAAAGAATTAGGGCTATGCTTTTATTATTGACTTAATATTTACCTCTTGATTTTTGACACCGCCTTAACCATTTTTCAAAGCTGCCACACCCTAGTTGATCATTGGTACCATTCTGTAGTCTTGCCAGCTTCCTTTCCTCCCAAGGGAAAATGAGACAAATTCTCAGCACCTTTTTTACACACTCTTAGATTGAAAACCATTGCAAACGGTGTGCAGCCAATTTTTTTTTCTCCCTTTTAACATGTTGCCATGTCCAAGACTAGCCTCCATAAATAGCAATTTAAACTAAGTTTGCTTGCTGTCCTGTGCCGGAGCTTCTTCAAAAAAGACTAGTATGCAACAGCGTTAAAACTGAGCATTGCTTTAGAGAAGCATTTCTTTGGAAGCTAAAAGTCTGCCTTTTTTTATTTAAGAGTATGTGCATCTGTGTCCAGCATCACCATCTGGGGCTTCCTGCCATTAAAATATTTTTAGCTAGATTTAATATATACTTGAAGAGTACATCACTCAGCAGCCATAGAAATATCCGAGAAAGAGAATTTGGCTCCCAATTTCAAGCTTGTAACTTCAGTAAAAAATTAGTAACATGATTAAACCTTTCCCACATTAGCAGTTCCCATCCTGCTGCTATGGAGAGCGATACAATTTTTTTTTTCTTGTTAAACCACACACAAGGTTTTCTGTCTTTAGCACATGCCCTTTGTTTTTGCTGAGAGAAGTAGGTACTCGGTGTTTCTGAAAATTAGGCCCTAAAAGAACTTGGTTTGAGTAATTGATACAACTTAGTGTTATAAAATGTAATTTGGCCAGTAAAGAAATGCGAAGTACAGTCATGAGAGAAGGTGGGTTCTAGAAAGCTTATTTCTGTCACGTGGAGGAGCTGGGTTTGCAACAAGTAGTGCTGGCACCTGCACATTATATACTAAGTTACAGTTAAAAGCTTAAAAATACCTTAAAAGTACTGATACAGATCTGCTGATGGATTGAAAAATGCAACTTTGTGAGGTTGCAAGGCTTGTAGTGCCACTTACCTTTTTGAAGAACATACTTATTTCCTTTCCTAACACTGACATGGAAGAAAGAATGAACGTTGTCCCCAGTTGTATAGCAGCACTGTTCTTCAAACCTAAATGTTGAGGTCATCCAGGTCAGTGACACCTTTTAAGAAGCATGATGTGTTTTCACATGCGTGAATGTTTGTTTTTGTTTGTTAGAGAAGTCCATCTGTAGTTAACGTGTGTCTTACCTGCGCTGTACCTGCGGGCTTCAAAAGGAAAAAAAATGATGTTTATGAAGGTGGAGGGACAACTTCAGACATCCTGTGGGTGTGCCACACAGGCTAAATTCTGCTTTTAGGAATTGACGTCAGTGGTATAGGGAGGCCGCACCCTCCTGCCAGCACCAAACAGGAAATTCTTAATTACTCTCTAAAGGAGTGGCTGGAACAATAAAGTTTGGGTTCTGCTTTGAAACCCTAAAGATACAATTTCTTTAATAATATGGAATAGCTGTTTCCAGTTACAAGTGGATTAGTTACATTTGAAGGAAGAATTGTGAACAAACGCAAGAAAAGTTCACTGTGAACTAAGAGTTTGAGGAATCTGGGTTTGACTGAAAACCAGGAACTTGAAGGGGGTTTTTCCTCCGTAAATTTAAAAAAAGCTAGGGAGTAGTAAAATTGCCACACCGTGCCACAGAATGAGTAAACATTTAGAAATATTCCTGCTAGAATACACAAAATTCGCTAAACCCTCTTGAATTTTTCGACGTGTGTGTAATGCTGTTCTTTCTGCCAAGAGACAGAGTGGTAGCGAATAAAGGGCTCTGTCATGAATCATCCTAGCTGAGGTCTGCTGTGCTAAATGGTTTTAATTTCCAACATTCAATTTGACTTTGCAGGAATCATCCTTCAGTTATAGTTCAGCCAGGAAAGAGGCCTTTACCTGTGGAGTCTCCGGACACGCAAAGAAAACGCAGAATACATCGGTGCGATTACGAAGGCTGCAACAAAGTCTACACTAAAAGCTCCCACCTGAAAGCTCACAGAAGAACCCACACAGGTTTGAGCACCGCTATGCTTTTCTTTCACCAAGTGTAGTGGTAAAATAGGAGAATAAGCTTCTGGTTTGTGCTAACGGCCAGGCGACCACAGGTGTAAATAACAGAATGGCAGCAGTTACATCTGGTGTTGTTCTGGATATAATTATAGGCTGAGCAAAAGATAGAGGATGCAGCAGGAAAAACCTAAAAACAAGAGACTGTGAGCAAAGCAGGATCATGGTGTATGCTGGTATGCCTCACATTCCCTGGCTCTTTCCTCGTTTTCTGTCCAGTTGCTTGCAGATTACTCGTTCTGCACACCCTGTGAACACCAAACCCGTTCTTACCGCACTACTTCACCTCTTACATCACTGCTAAATTTGACTGGGACTTCTGTGGGAGTAGCCCATTTGCAAAAGTCTGGACCATTTGCCAAAATACAAACACATCTGCTTCATGTGGGCAGGCTAACTGCTGCTCCACTAGAGCTCTTTTCTGAGTGAGTGTTCCAGTAGACGTATCCCTGTCTCAGTTCTCCGCAGCAACGTTCATCTTGCCTTGCTGACTTGGTCTATGTGCATCCAAGTTTTTTACAAAGATATGGAACACTTTTAGCTAAAATGGAGCCCGGGTCACGTCTGTTTTACATCAGACCTGCCCTATACCTGTCGGGCAGTGCAGCACTTTTAAGAAGGGAGATCACATATTTAAAAAGCGGTGATTGAGAGAGATTTAAGTTGAGCTGCTTGTGACAGTGGTTGCAGTTACGCTACAGTAACTTCTAAGAGGTCACAACAAGATTCCTGCCTGCTCTGCCGAACAGCAGCACCAGTGCTTTTCCCCCAACTAATCTAGAATGTGAGGTCCTAGTTTTGAAAACTGGAACAAATGCCGAAGCCTTCACACTTCTGGGCTCGATGAGGCAAAACAAGTGCTAATATGGCAGAGGGAGGAACAGAGAGAGAAGAAAAAAATAAGTTGTGGCAGGAAACAGTTTTTTGATCTGTTAACTTTGACGACAGTTTCTGCAGCCCGGTGCTTTTTGGAGACTTTTTGAGTAAGCATTAAAGTACTTGCTGAAATTTGACAGGGAGGATAAATCTGTCAAATAATTAACTGATGTGTTTGTGTCTTAAGTTCTTACTTCTGTGCTTCTTTCTCCAGGTGAAAAACCGTACAAATGCACTTGGGAGGGATGCACGTGGAAGTTTGCTCGTTCTGATGAACTAACACGGCATTTTCGCAAGCATACAGGAATCAAACCTTTTCAGTGCCCAGACTGTGACCGTAGCTTTTCACGTTCGGACCATCTTGCTCTTCACAGAAAACGCCACATGCTAGTCTGAATGTCTTCTGTCCCTGACTCCTGTCACACTTTTTTTTTACACATGCATTTTGATTTGGATTCAGCTGGACTGAATCTCTGAGTTTATACCATTAAAAGCTTACGTATGGTCAGTAACAGATGTTATCTAACCCTTCCATGTCCTTGCCACGGGTCAGACCTAAAGAATGTGAACTTTTTTTTTTTTTCTCCAGGGGATGCTAAGCAAACCCTTTCTGCAGACAGTATGTTTTAATATATTCCATTGTGAATAAGGGAATTTGTAAACTAACAGCTTTTGTTGGTTTCTTCATATAATCAACCCAGCATATACTGATAAAGTAGTAAACGTTATTGAATATCCAAAATGCTAGTCTTTGCCAGAGACTTTTATTTATGTGTCCTGTAAAGGATGCATTCTCATTTTACGCTAAACAATGCAATGAATGGACTCTCCCAACCGTCTTTGATTTCTGCAAAATGGTAAATACAACAGTTTTAGAAAGACACCTGATTTAGAAATCCCCTCTGCCCGAGGATTAAATAACACTGTAGAAATAAATCAAAGCAATATTATCACTTTACAGAAAGATTGAGTCATAGTGTCATTTTCCCCAGTCAGGAGGAAAAATTGGCAGGTATTGCTCCATACATTACATCATGCATCTAAACCAGTGTCATCTGCCCTCTGTATTATAGTGTGGTATATATCCTTGGTTTTACTGCGTAATGCCCTGCTGGATTTGTTAAGTGAAGACCTCGTGTGACACTGTCTGGTTACTGTGCAAGTGTATGGATGGAACACATATGGTACTCTCCTGTGACATGGCATTAAAGGATACCCATAGAAACCTACCGCACCTCATTTCAGGAATAGAGGCTATCCTTCTACAATCACTCTCCTACATTTCCTCTAAATAATTTTTTCTCTTCTCTGTACCTCAGAAAATAGCAATCATTATGTCAAAAATGCTCTGAACTGTATTGTTGTGAGTGCCAGTTCAGTACACTACAGTATTTAAAATGACCAATTCACAACATTTTTATGAGAGGATGGCATCAGATAGGATGCACTTCTGATACCTGTTTTGGATAAAAACACGTACCAAGTCATCCATTTGGTAACTCTAATTTGTGACTCTGGTAGCCTCTCCACGTTAGGTAGACTAAGCTTTCCTGTGGATGCGTCTATTGCATTAAAAAATGGCATCAGAAAGCCTTAACTCCCACGGCAGTTAGCAAGCACAACTCCCCAGATAAAATACAACTGAATTCAAGGATCCTGCAGCTGACCCTAGAAATGTTCCTGTCTCTGGAAGCCTGCTGAAAGGCAGCTTTCTGTCTTTTAGCTGGCAGGCTCTGTGGCACTGCAAGGAAACGGCGCATTTCTCTAGACTCTAGCGCGTCAGGGCGTTTTAATTTCTTCTCCTGTGTAGTGTCAACACCATTCTATGTAAATTAACCGTAACTAAAGTAAGATTTTTGTTTCTCTTGGAAAAACCCACTGGCAAATGGGTGAGGAGAGGAGGAGTTTTCATCAAACCCTGCAGGAGGAGGCAGGTGGAGTGTCCATCTGCAGGTGGGTGCACTGGAGCTTGTGTAGCCGGTGGGCTGTGCCGCTATGTCCTGCGGAGCCGCAACAGCAGAACTCTTGAAATAATCTTGCAGATGGAAGGGTTTGAGTGCAAAGAGCCTTCCTCTGGTCACAGAGCTGACCAGCTGGTCTGCTGACACCCACGTACCCGTAGAATTAGAGAAGGATCTGCACTTCCTGGAGAAGAACACTACTACGGTGGTTACTGTGCGATGCCACGTATTCTTCCAGTCATGTAACAAATCTCATGTGTGGGAATACAGAACCAGCAATCTTGTTTAAGGAATAGAGCCCTGAACGTACAGGCTGCAAAGAGGAGAACAGGGATTTGCGAAGCAGGGCTGGGAACATTGCTCCAAGGCTTTTGTGAGGAAGATCCATGTGCTCTGTTACAGCCGCGTACCTCCTCTGCCGCTCGCTCACACTGAAGGAAATTGCGCCAGGTCTTGTAACGGTCTCATCTGCTTATTTATGGAGCTGAGAGGTGAACTCTTGTCTTTTTGTAGTAGGCCGGGTTGTTACTAACGTTGAGGAACTCCCGGGGAAGAGAATGAAAGTAATGAGCAGCTGTTCTAGAATGGGAGGGGTTTGCCGGGGTATTGTTTATCATCAGTGGTAGCAGAGCTCTAGGTTTTAGTGGCAGTTCTGTAAAGGCAGACACGGCGCTGGGGGAGAGGCTCTGTGGAGCTCCTGTGGCATCCGTCACAAGTCTACAGGTGTAGTATCCTGGGATGAAAACAGTTCTCTATTCTAGGGGAAAGAGCAGGTAAGATCCTAGAAATATAAGCAGCTCCGTGGCAACTTACCCCAGTTTTAGCTTAACAAATGCAAATACATAAAATTTGGGATGTTTAACTTTCCAATGCTGTTTCTCTTTTCAGGTTTTCATCAAATGTTTTAAATTTTTTATTGGGTTTTTTTTTCAATTAGAAGTCTAAAAGCAAGTACTCTAAAAGAAGAACTTCTTTGTAACTAAGTTACTTTGGAGAATTTAATCCAGATTATTTACAATGTTGATTTATTAGCCTACATACCTTTTTCCTGGAGATACTTGCGCTAATGATGAAGACAAATACAGTGGAGATTCATGTGCCTTGTCATTTAGGACAAGAGAAATTTAATTGTTAAATACAAATATTTAAATTTTTTTAATGTAAATGCCTTGCTTATAGGATTTTTCACTTGTGTTTGTGGTGTCTTTGTGGGATGTCAAAAAAAGTCACAGATGCGCTTTCATCTTTCCTCTTGAAAATGTGAATTTATATCTTAACTGGCTTGTTGGTTCACTTTAGGAAACTAGGATTTGAGGGGTATCTTGAAATTTTTAAATATACACACAACTAAATACTTTTTAAAGCCAGTATTTCCATCTTTGCCCTGAAAGGAAGCAAGTTTAGATATATAGAAAACCCTAATCCTGCAGAACGCGTGTATTTTAAAAAAAACACACCTTTTTCCATAGCACAGTGTTACACACTGTGCAGTGTGTAACTAATAATACTGTTTTACTGTAATATGCCATTTGATTATAATAAATTACTGGTTTGTAAGACAATCATAAAAAGCTAAGCAGGTATTGATGTGTGTGGTTTTATTTAAACATACACTGCTGTTCTGCGGTGATATTTCTAATGCTACATCTTGTCCAAAAGCATTGTTGTCTCTGTCAAGGTTATCAACATGTAGATGAGTACAAATCCTTTCTATAAAAATTTACGAAGCATTTTACATATCTTAAGAGGGCTACACCAGTTTTCATTATATTTTACAGATATTAGCACCTTTTTTCCATGTAGTTTAAATATTAGAGGGTCAAAATAATCCTGCTTAGCATCTCTCACCTGCAAACATAGCAGGGATGTTATATTTACTTTAATACTTGTGTAAACTATGCAGAAATTTTTTAATAAAGTGTAATATATTTCATAAGCTAATAAGACTGAATGGGTAATTAAAGGTTTCTAGCGTGCGTTACTATAACTTGCAAATACAGAGACATTTTGCTAATCTTTTCTTACTAAAGATGTGAATGTTTAATGTACTTTCACTGTTTCTACTTTGGTAGTCCAATGGGAATTCAGTAATGACATTTTGTCATGTCAAACTGTGAACACAGATTTGTACTGTACAGTCCGCAATATGATATTTAGTACACAACACCTATGTCTGAAATACTTGTTAATAAAACCCTCAGAATACTGCGTGTGGTCGTGCCGTCATACGCTGTACGACGGGGAGCAACGTCATGGGTGTGAGGGCCAGAGGTGTGCCCGGGGATCCCCGCTGGCTCCGGAGTTTTGGGTGGCCCTTCTGCGGGGCCAGTACCTGCCCCACTGTATTGGGTTGGCTTAGCCGGATTTTGGT